AATAAAGAAAATCTAATTCGCCCAAAGGAAAAAAGATAAACCTTATCAAATCCACAAGAAAATGTTAAATACGATAAAAAGAATTATGCAGAAAAATTGAACAAATTACAACAACTAACCGGAGGAAGCTCAAGAAGCAGAGTCGCATCATTTGCGCCAACCATATCAGGGTCATAAAAATGGTCGAAGTTGTTCTTGGTGGCATCGAAGAGGGTGATTCGCTCGAGCAGTGGCGAGTAAGCGAACCCAGTGCAGTAAGCGCTGAAAACATTCCGATGATAGAAGTCGAGTATACGGTTTCGGTCGCGTGGCGTCATAGACACAATATCACGGCCATCCCAGATTTCAGTGCAAAGCTCTGCTAGCAGGTCACCAGTTCCCTGTGAAATCACCTGGTAGCCACCCCCACCCGCCTCTGCAGTAATTACTGCGAAGCAAGTAGGAAGGGGGGCACTCTGACGAAGAGCATCGGGATCTCGGGCCTCTGGAAATGACAGATTCAATGGTTCAAGCGTCACTTCATTAGGTTGAAGCTTGGATACTTCCGTGGCTATGTCGCAGAGAGAGTGTTTGACTATCTGGACATCTGGTAGGGAGTTAACATCTAGCTCATGCAATTTGGGTTCATTTACCAAAGTAGGCGATTTGCGTGACTAGAAAAAAGGTGATAGTAAAGTTTATGATTAAATTAGTCCTGGTACATCAGCGCCGAAAATCAAGGTATTATTATTTTTTAGAGTTATAAAAATAATTTTTAAAATGCAGTTTATCTCTTATTTATGAGCAGGCAAATCTCATCTAAGTGGCTGGAATTTAAAATATTGCAGCAATGAAGGAATCTCTATCTTAACAAGTAAAACAAGGTAAATGGTGGAGGAAAGAAGGGATAAAAAATCAAGAGGTGATCAAAGTTAAATATAGTCTTCTTGGCCTACCATAAACCTTATACATAAATATATGAAGATCAAGATGTTGTGGCCTCTGGTGTGGTCGCAGTCTCCTTTCGATTGATAGAAGTGGGT